CACGAGAGAAATAGGAGCAGATCAGCAGCCAATGGGAATTACAACCGTTAAGAAACGGGAACTGGGCAAGTAAAACCCGCGAATTGGCCAAAATCAGTTGACTGGCATGGAGGCGAACAGCGGTATCCGTGAGTATGTGATCAGTTGATTTGCAAACAAAAAAACAAACCGGAAAGCAAAGGTGGAATGCAAGTTAATGTGTTAATCTGTAAGGCAGGGAAGGGAGATAGTCGCTTTTTGAATTTTAAATGAAGATACTGTTAATAAACTGTACAACAAAATAAGTAGTTCGTTAGTGGCAGGAGGACATTAACGACAAAGACAAGGGAGACTAGGATGGCCATTTCTGGCTTATTAGCCATCGTCAGATAGTCATACCCAGAGGCTAGAACTCGCGACCTCTCTGATCAGAATCAAACGCCCTAACCATTGAGCTACGTGCTCGCTGTTTTGCCGGTATTAACTCGGAGATATAGAGTAGCAGATCGGTGTACGCGCACTGCCACTGTAGTTGGTAACGTATAGCAAACTACGGTGACGTTTAAAAGGAACCCTTAGCGAGAAGAAGAACAAGAAGGGAAGGAGAAGAAGTGAGAGGTGGAAGACGAGAAGAAAAATCCTGCCAGGAATGCTCCCGGATGCAGTTAAGAAATACCAATAGTATGACTAAAGGATTGTCCCTAATCCCAGCTGCCGGCCAGCCAATGTTAGGCAGTAGTGGTGCTTATCTACTCCTGAGTTTACCCGCGTGTTAGCTTTTATGCTATTGTTTGTCGGTTGCCAGGGGCGACAGCACCAAATGTCTCAACCCTTGTTCTGCGCTCATAAAGAATATATTATGCAAACAGAGGGTGGGTGGCGTAGACGCGCGAAGCTCCGAATAATAAACAAAATGCTCCACTGGTCTTCAACCAGTCCTTATTTTTACACACTGGAACGCAAACCCCGTGCAGTTATTCGCAAAAAACTAAAAAGAAACCAGATAAGACGACGACGCACTATAGAGCTCCAGCTACAGTGGCTTCGAAATGTTCCATTTACCGGAGAGAGAGAGAGAGAAAAAAAAACAAAG